CGATGAACGACTTGGCGTTCTTCTTCTTGTCGGCGATTCTTACTTTCGGCCGAGGTGACCACCTTCAGCGATTTCGACGGCTGGCTGAAACCATTCTTGTTGTACGCCACTACTCGGATGATATACATCGTTTCCGGCTGCAGCCGAGAGATCTTGAATTTCTTCGAGTCGCTGACCGACGTATTGAACAGCACTTCCCTACAAAGTGCCAAAATGAAACGTACGCGTTGCTGACATATTCGAGTCAGCTGGCTCATACCTGAAGGATTCGCCGCCTTTCAGATACACCTGATAGCCGACCAACTGCTCGACGACAACCTGTGCTGAATCCCAGCGCAGTATCACGTACCGACTGCCGATGTTCAATACTTGCAGTTCCGTAGGCGTTGACGGTGGCGAACTGGTGAACAACTTCGGTGGTGTATCTGAGATTTACAGAACACCTGTTACTAAAACCGTTAAGACCGCAAAGCAACGACGGCTCCACGGAACAGACGTAGAGGAAGGGCCGTTGAAAAGTTGTCGTCAAGTTAGAACAGTCCTCAACAGTTCCATGCAGCAACACTGCCTTCACAAATACTTTGGCTGCGCGTCTCGATTCTCCTACGTAGACCGTTAGCATCAACAGATAAATGTTTACTAGCTAGATGGATCTACACCAAAATCTGGCACAGGTCATATTTCAACATTCGATTAGTGAAACTGGACAAAGGCATGCATGCACAACTGCTACGACAGTGAAACGTAGACGATAAACGGATTGGAATGATGAAAAATAATCTAATTCGGCAGAAACGTAAATAAATCCGAAATCATGTTCCGAGCATCAACAGACAAGTCTTTCCTTTTTACAGGCAGTTCATCTCACATTTATGTTAATACCGTAAACTGCCTACTTTGTCAGGCAAATGTCTATGAGAACAAAACAGTACTCTGCCGACGATCAAAATCAACAGTCATTCGTGTAATACATGCTCGAAACTTCATACGCTGTTGACAACTATAGAAGCTGATTATTAAGACAAAAGTTCCAAATTTGGCAGACGTCCGCGAAACGAGGCATTCTTACCTCCATTAGTGTCGTTTCGAATCAATGAAGTCAATCTGACAAGGTCTAAAAGTTATCAGAACATAAAAAACAACAGGTGAAACGAAATGAAATAGTAAGCATGTGCATAGCACTTGCGTGTTCAACTGACGTATCTGATTCGGATGGAGCTGGAAGATGCTACAGCATCGTAAACAATGAGCTCTTCTAGATGTTCTAACATAACGTCAAAGCGTCAGTTTGTGAAATGTAAATGACACTGACCTCAAACTGGACATTTAAATGTCTGGCTTACAAGAGAACGACATAAAGTTTTTTACGACAGAAACGGCAAGGACAATGAAGTCAGCTGCCAGAAGCCGTCTCATATTGTTGTTATCCATCCATAGCGTATAAGGGCAATTCTAAAATGATCTGGTCGTATGCCTTTTCAGTCTCAACAAAACCAAATTCACATGAATCTCAACAAAATTATAGGAAAGTTTGTCACAGCTGGGATTTCCGTTCCACTAACGCGCCCACGAAGGATGCCTCCTTAATTTATCTTTTCTGAAGCTTATGGCTTGGCGTTATCTCCGTTTCGATGCCACTGGCCAGAAGTACCATCATGATTCAGCGCAGCATTTAGAGACGGACACTGTGATATGTTTCCTTCTCACGGGGGAGTTCGTATTTACCAAGAATATTTCTTCCTCTATTTCAAAAGAACCGTATATCTCGACACAGACTGTGACACTCATTTTACTGAAAGTATAGATAAATCAAGATTCATTAGCTGAGTGCATCGCCGGAAACAACAATTACGTCACGCACAATTATAAGAATGGATAGTCAGTTACCAGGCAAGTCAAAACATATTGCAAGATATCCATAACTTCTTAAATTATGCAGAGGCTCATGCAGGCGCTTTGGGGCAAGAAGTGGTCCGGAATGCTAGCATTCCTTTAGATGCACTCGCGGCAGGCAACATGGCCGCAACTCTTGCCCATTCTGCCATGACCACATCGGATCACCACGTCACCTCTACTGCTCGCAAGTCAATGACTTGCTATTCTTTTCTCGGCTGGTTGAACCGAAGCAACGCAGGATGAATTTCTTGCTCAAGGAAATTAGTGGTTAAGAGAACTATTTGGCTTTCCTCAGGATTTGAACCCGATATCTCCGGAGATTGAAGATGATCTTCTAACCCCTAGGAGTTACACACTGTGCTACTACTTAATGTCATAAGAGAGATCAGCGTTTTTAAACTTCTTCTCAATTCTTTATGGCCTGACGTCTTTTGATGGTTTACAACACGAAGGAACGAAAACTAGATTACCTTCACTTAACGTACGTTCAATGATCAGAAAATTAGCAACAAAGATTTCAATGTATACACGTTACTACCTCGCTTTAAGCAACGTCACTGCACCGGCTTCTTGCTTCCGGAGACCTTACGAACCTTACACGGAAGCCAAGGTTTCATGTTATTACAGCAGCTGCAGCGCAAGGATGCAAAAAAGCATCCACGTGTTTGAAAGAGCAAAATGCGAATGTCTTGACCACTTCCTCCATATCTTACTGCGCAAATGAAATATATAACTTTATTCCTGTTAAACGCTAGACTGTTATCGTGCAACACCGCTCGTTGTTCTGAGGATAAACTGCATGACAGGAAAATTCCAAAATTTCTCACACCCCTCAGAAATAAATATGAACGGTGATCCCCTTAACCCTTTACCGTCGCAGTAAGCTACAGCCAGACCACCGATCTTTTCATCACGATGTGCTGGTTATTGGTATTGCTCTGTTGATTTAGTCATCGTGCTTTACAAGGTTATCGGCAAATTCCAACAGCAAATACTGGATGTTCGAACCTAATAGTTAAGTCGTTAAATGTTGTCTGTCTTTCCCGGAAAAGAAAATGATCTTCTTCAAGACAAAAGAGACCAACTTAAAATCTTTAAGTAATATATATGAAAATCGGGCAGCCTCTGTTAATAGGTACAACAATATCCAGCCTTGTAATTTAAGAAGCAGTATGGCGACTGAACTGTTCATTTTTATTAATTAACAATGCATTGATTATCTGGCATAATATACGAGCTCCCATGAATATCTGAAGGCATGGATGGGCAACGATGTTAGCCACGGTTTCGAATGGTTGGTGGTGGTGGCTATCCTGTGTTAACTAACAAGCACTTTTAGCACTTCAGCGATCTTCCCAATGCGAATCCATTCACAGTTGTTGACCAGAATGCACAAATAATTTTAATATTAAGCCTTAAGCATATATTGGTCATTTCTATCATTTTTACTGTGCCTGAAGATAGTTTGCTGCTAACAACTACGCTGGGTAAGTTTGTAGAAAGTAAACTGGAAGTAGACTATATTTTGGTTAGCACGCATTGATAATTGTTAAATTTTTCAGAAAGCACTGAACTTGTCGTTAGCCCTTAGGAGGAAAACATGCAGTCCATGTAACCTACAAATATTTTCAGGCATATCAGGCATAAAATGGAAGGCAACTGCTACTAGGAATTGGTTTTGGGAAAGCTCCTTGGGCAGGGAGAAAATAAGATTAACTAAGCGGAGTATGACAGCGGTTTCTTGGATAATGTCTATATATGCACAATTTTCGTAGACAGGAGACCTTTCTTTACTGCAGTACCTATTGGCCTTAGCACACATGTACTGCACTTTAACAACTTAAATGTCTTTATTAGAGTTAAAAGATTTCTTTACGCATGAAGTTAATGGATCCATGTTGCGCCTGATTAGGATGCTAAAAAATGCCGGTAAAACGTGGAACTCATTTCCAAACAAATTAAATGGTTTCTAATATCCGGAAAAATCACATAGACAAGAAAGAAATTCACGAAAAAATTCAAGTTACATAGAACTAGTTGGAGTCTGAAGTTCAGGTAATATGATACAGGTTTTAACTTTGAAAGACAACGTATAAAGCTTTAAAACAGTCGAACTATGATAAAGTTACGGGGAAGCCATTATAACTCCTTTATAATCACGTGATAGAAAGTAAAAAACATGCCCATCGCTAGAACAGTGACAAGCGACACGATACTCGTTGCAATTAAATTTGCTTAACAGCAGATCGTCAGTGCAGATCAATTCGGTTATCATATTATTTACCGCATCTGTGAACATTAACAGGCAGCTGCTGCCTCACTATTTTTGAACAGAATTTTAGTGATTCTAGTTTTGCCATATGAGTAAAAAACTAAAGTTCAGACCCGCTGTATGCTTGACGGAAAATCAGGTTAATAAACCTAATTGAACTATACCGCATGAGTAACATGCAAAGGCCTCACCCGCAGTGTGAACGGTCAGCAAGGCAGCCGCCTGTAACGAACCGAAATCATTTTCGACGAAACACTGGTAGACGCCTTCGTCATTTCGGACGAGCCCGTGGATAGTCAGTTGCGTTCCTTCCATCTGAAATAAAATCATGATCATACAACGAAAATAAATCATTCCCATTTTATGAATGTGGATTACTATATACATAGTTTACAACAGGACTGAACATATTGAATCTGAATACACAGACCTGGCCTTTCGAACGATACTCATCGATCGTCAAAGCACAGATCTTAAGCCGATATAACCAGGGATCGTGCATCCATGATTCGACTCCTACAACACATGAAGCTGTAACCTATACCGCCAGAAGCACAGAGAGGTCAAGTCTGCCGCTAGAAGCAATACTCAATTGTCATTCAAC